TCGCGTAACCAAACTCGCTCGTTATGTAATAGTAGATGTCGGCGGTAACCGTGTCACGTTTCGCGCGCTGAACGTTCGCATAAAGATTAAAAAATAAAAAAAAAAAAACTCCTCGCATTGTGAGCTTGGGCCGCCTGTGTTCCTCAATGTGTTTTCATGTAGAATACATGCAGTCAAGTGTATTATTAGCTTTTAACACAGCTTGCTTTTGATAAATCAAATAATTATTACTAAGTAAGACTTAATTAGTCTATTCTTTCTGCCTATGTAGGTTTGTTGCAGTGTAATGGACAGGAAGAAGCTACTCTTACAGAAATTCTCAAACATTTAGAAAAAGCGTACTGTGAGCAGTTATCAGCAGAGATTCAGCACATTGTGGTATGAAAGCAATCTGAGATTGTACTATCTGGTATTATTTTAAAACAGAAATATTATCAGCTTGCTGTAAATTATGTAAACTTTGGGTGTTTGTGTTGGAGTTGTGACTACAATCAAACCTGTATATAATGGCCTTCCTCGGGACTTGAGAAACTGGCTGCTTAATACAGGTAGCCGCTTAATACATGGTCACTAAAAATACTCACTGGGCACGGTCTAATGTCAGTTTTAATGGCATATCATACAAAAAACACTTCATGCAAGGAAGTTACAGTAGGTCAATCAACACTCTTTCAAGCAATCAATACTTAAAACAAGGTTCAGTGCCAACTTGTATCTAATGTACAATGTAACCTGTATTTCTATGACTTATATTTCACAGCAAAATATCTCATTCTGACATTATATTTACTTTTCACATGAGGCAAAATTTGACCCAATATGAGGCAAAAATTTGACCCAATATGGTCTAAGCTCTCATAAGTGACAAATGTCAAGCCTAGGTGGTTGCTCACGAGAGGTTTGACCGTAGTTTATTAATGACTTCTTGTTGGTGGAATGAAATGTAAGAATTTCATCTTCTGCATGTTGTACCATTACTGGCCTTTCATTAGATAAATGTAAAATTGAAGCAATGAATCATGTATTGGACAAAATCCATCAATTTGTGATTTAAATCAACAATCATTTTTAATTTGACTTTAGAATAATTTGGCTTGAATCTTAACTGACATTACGTTTTTAATATTATTTCACCTCCAGGATGAGTCAGAAAGGCTTTGGTTTGCAGGATTGATTGAAGAAAGTGTCCAGTGGACACTAGAAGCGGACAGACAGACACACTTGGCTGAGCTGTTATTAAAATCACAGGTACAGTACACTGTAAAGTTCTGTAATATTAACACTACACTGTACCTAGATGACAGTACCAGTGTACAGTTTGCTCTAACTAATATAAAGCACGAGGAAATACATTTTAATATAATTTATACAGCTGCAGTATGCCTGGGTTTCAATCTGGGAGAAAATCATGACGGGGCGAATTGTCTGGAAAACGATGTAAAGTAAGTCTGCATATGAGCCAAGTGGCTCATCAGGCTTGGGCCTATCCCAGCTTCCGTAGCATGAAGCTACGAAATACTCCTACACGAACATGTACAAGCATTTTTATTCCCCCTGAATAGAATGCTAGTCCATGGCAGGGTTACCCCCAGCATTAAATTTGCCGGTACCTATTTTGTACACCTTCAGAGAGGCTTTGTGTCATAATTAAAAGTGTCTTGCCCAAGAACAACACAATGTCCCTCAGCTAGGGCTCAAACCCAGACTGCTCAGACCCGAGTTGAATGTGCTAACCATTTACTTGTACTGAACTGTAAAAACTTTTACCAATTTTATGCATACTTCATATTGTGAACAGGCATTTGACAACTTTGTTGCCAAGAAATTCCCAACAGTCAAGCGATATGGTGCTGAAGGGGCAGAAAGCATGATGGCATTTTTTGATGAACTCTTTCTTCAATCCTCATATTGTGAGTTTTCAGTGCATAACTCAAAGTTATTAGTTTCTAAAAAACCTTTAGTTGTGCTTTGCAGGAGCTGGCATATGCAAGTGAAACACTTACTACATGTATTTGAATGTCAAGTTATCTAATTTACCTTTACTTGCGTCAAGCTGTAATATGAGTGTTTAAATTGTAAAGCAAATTACTAATTACAGTCTGCAGTCCTGACAGAACTGCCCCCCCTGTTTCCAATCTTGTTAACAGACCACCCCCTCCCCTCTACTCCCCTTGTTTTCACCCTCCGAAACAGACTGTCCACCTTCCCTACCCCCTGTTCCTGACTTCTTACATAAGCCCTTTCCCTACATGTACTCCCCTTGTTTCCAACTTCCTAAACTGTCACCCCGACCCCCTGCTCCCTGATTGCCAGCTTCTCATCTACATGTAGACCTCTGCCCCATGTGTTTGTATCAGCCCCTCAGGCAGACAGTGACCTGTTACATACAGTTAATTCCTTGAAATCTCCTATCAAAGATTCTTTTTTGATCCTTCTCCTTTCAACCTCTCAGGTGAAATTCAAGAGTTGGTTTTAGGCATGCCACACCGAGGACGTCTCAACCTTTTGACTGGTCTCCTCAAATATCCTGTTGCTCAAATGTTTTCCAAGGTTTGCACTCTTAAATTTCGATGTAATGTTTAGTGCATATTTAGTATTTACTAACTTAATACAGAAAAATACATGTGCCACATGAATGCTATATAGCCATAGTGGGTCTGATCTCTAAATCAGCTTATATGTGTGCATAAATACACTCAACTCCAACATCTGATATGTACAACTTTGTATCTACCTCAGATTCTATCCACAGTATGGTCAATCGACTATTCTTTTTTTAAATTTCAAACAGCATCATTATTGTAAAGTTCTCTTGCACCCTTACCTGTGATAATCCTGACTTAATCCACTGGTGCTGGCTCTGTAGAATTTTCTAATTCAAGTCTATAAGAGCTGGTAGCAGACCCCACAAAAGGAAAAGGAAGGACAAGAAATGCAAAGACTGACATGAGCTGAGCTGGTTTTTACTGGATTGGGTTACTTTAATTTGTACTGTACTAATCACATATTCACTAAGAACTAAGTACTAAGTATGCAAGTCAACACTCAGCAGCTAGGAATCATCTACACCTAACATTGCAATGTATGCAAAGGCTTATAAAACTATTTAACAGCCCTTTTCAGTCTTTCCCTGGCTTCTGTTCTTCAATGTTACATCATTCTATAGTACTTATAGTATCAAGCAAAGTAAAAACTTAGTGCAGCTCTATTCGCAATGAGTGCTTTTCATTAACTCTGCTTCACAGGCTCGGCTCTACAGTACATACATTATTCTGTTCAATATTGTTGTTGTTAATTTTTCATTAGATGAGAGGAAACTCTGAGCTTCCACCAGGTGCCCAAGGCATTGGAGATGTCCTGTCTCACTTGTGTAAGCTGATGTTATACATGTAGAATCATTCCATTTCTTAGTACCATAGGTCTGCAATGTAAGGTTTTTCCTTGTCAAGCTCTACGATTAAATCATCTTGAAAGTTATTTTTAAGAGTTTTATTTTTGGCTGGAAAGGAAAAAAGTCTGCACTATCCCTTAATGTTTTAAGCTTGTAACATTTGACATTACAGTGGAATCCCGATTTCTCAAACCCTCAGTTTTCCAAACCTCTCAATAGCTTGAACCAAAAGTGGTTTCCCCTCCTCAGTCAAACACTGTAATTTTACCTCTGATTTCTCAAACTAACGGATTTTTTGAACCAATTCTCATTTCCCTTGGAGGTTCGAAAAATCCAGATTCCGCTGTAATAAATTATATAAACATAAAAAGTATTATGTAGCACATTCCTTTAGTTATAATAGCTATTTATCATTAATAATGCTGGTAATAATAATGTTGTTGGCTTCATTTAATTTCCATCTCTCTTCTTATTGTAGTCAATTCCGCCGATCTAGATTATGGTCGCAAGCGGCCTCTTCATGTGTCAATGTTACCAAACCCGTCACACTTAGATGCTGTTGATCCTGTAACTACTGGGAAGGCGAGAGGTCGGCAATTAACATTGAAAGATGGTTGCTATAGTGATCTCCCAGACTGCCAAATGGGTGACAAGGTGACAGTTTGTTCTACATACATTGTCATTCTCCATGCCAGAGCCCTCCTCTTGCAAATTACCAACAGCTCCCTGGCAAGAAAGCAAAGGGTCTGGGGTCAAGAGTGAAAGTGTATTAATTTATTTTGGGAAGCTGTTTAGCCACAGATAAATGTGATTTCTTCTGTTAAAAACCAGCGGACCCTTCTCAGCCATTTACGGCAACAGAAGTTTGTATTTGATTTACAAGTGACTCTTGCTTGCTCCAATATCCATTAGGGATCTGCAGTAGACATCCGACATGGAAAGGATCAGCATTAACTAACACAGCTTGCACTTGTTTTCTTCCCAAAGGTATTGAGTGTTATGGTGCATGGCGATGCCTCAGTCTCTGCTCAGGTACGAAAGCAGCAGTGAACAATAAATTGAGAATTTTAAGTAAGCCAGTAGTGGAGAGAGACACTGAGAGAGTTTCAAATGTGCCTCTCCCAAGAACACAACACAGTGACACCAGCCAGGGCTCGAACCTGGAACACTTGATACAGAGTCCAGCGCACTGACCAAAGGTACCACATCCCCCCTCCCGCCTCCCATGGGTAGATTGTTTTAACTTAGGCGTTAATTTAGAATTACGTTTTGAATCGGCCAAAAGAGAATTTCAACTACAGGCATAAAGATTGAAGTCTGAAAATCAACAGCCCCAATGCTTGAGGAATGTTGTTGCTTTCATTTACACAAGTAAATGTGTACATGCAGTGCACATCAAGTAAAAGGAAGATTATGATTACAAACGATTACATAATTTTCTAGTTGAATTATATTTCTCATTGTAGTATAACTTGTTGGGGTATTTGTCACACAGGGAGTTGTAGCAGAGACCCTTTGTCTGGCAAACTTACCTCACTTCAGTGTTGGTGGCACTATCCATTTGATCGTTAATAATCAGCTTGGTTTTACGACGCCTGGAGAGAGAGGAAGGTACTTATTATTAATAATGATATGGCTATTTAATATCAAATATCGAGACCGTGATTTATGTAATATATCAAACACGAAAGGCTGTGTTTGACCACATTTCCAAACACCGAAAAGAGAGTTGAAAATAGGATGCGCAGTGGAGTATTTTTGACGAACTTCGACATTTGAAATGTGATCAAACACGGCCTTGGGTGTTTGATATATCCTCTCAATCAAAACTAAAGCTAAGGAGAAAACGGTGAAATAAAATCGTAAAACCTTTGCCTATTAAAAAACTTGATGGATTATTAATGAGTTTGAGAACGCATTTTCAAACACCGAAAGGAGAATTGAAGATACGATGCACAGTGGGGTATTTTTGACGAATTTTTAGGCGTTTTGGAAATGTGTTCAAACACTGTCTTTAGTGTTTGATATATCTTCTCAATCAAAGCTAAAACTACATATGAGGAGAAAACTGAGAAATGATATCATGAAAATCCGTGTTAATCAAGAACAGATTTCTATACACTGACATAGGACAGTATGATTTCCTTTGTTTAAACTAAAATGGATGTAGAAGTGAGGAATTTGTACTGGTCTCTTACCTTCGTGAATGTAATGAACAATAAATTTTGACCATTATTGTTCTTGCTAGCAATCTTCTAAATTGATGAGCGTTTTAAAGTTGCCTTTATCATTTGTTTTGCAGGTCGTCAATGTACAGCAGTGATGTTGGTAAAATGATTGGTTGTCCTGTGCTCCATGTTAATGGTGATAATCCCGAGGTACTGTATGCCTCATGTTGCAAGGGTTTTTATCTGAATGGGAGGGCCGCACGGGAAAATCTCTGACCCCAGGTCATGAAGTGGACGATCCGAGCAAAACATCCCCCTCCGTCCCCCTCGGGGGGTCTCTCATGTGAAATGGTCGGGACGCCTAGGGGTGTAAGTCGCGGATTTTAGTCTCAGGTTGTTCAAGACGAAATGCCACCATTTGTAGCCTTCAACGTATCTGTTAGGGTTACATTCGATTAAATAATAAAACAGCACTCTCATGTGCGTTTTAATGTGGTATCTTTCAGGGGTCAAATAAAACTTGAGTCACACCCAGATTGGTGTCCCGTAGGAGTTTAATTCAAATTTTCCAACTAGCCCTCCCTGACCTTTTTATATGGGAGGTTCCCCCACGAAAGTAGTAATTACTGAAAAATGACTGAGAGCAAAATATTTTCCGCTGAAGGCAGACCTCACTCAATCAATAAGTTTACCTTCACCGAACTCCTAGCGCCAGAGTGGGTACGTTCTCGTCATGTTTCTGTAATCACATAATTTTTACGGGGTCAGGTGATTGGCCTAACGCCCAACCCCCAACCTGGAGGACCAGGGGGCTCTCCTTTGTCAGGCCTCTATCCCTCAACCAATCTGGAACGGTTGAACCCACCAGGGACCAGGTTCCCACCGGTATAGCTCTTGGGGTCTGTGAGACACGCAAGCTCCACCACCACGACAAGGTGACGAGCTCAGAGTGGAGTCAATCAATAAGTATTCACTCTCTACTGAGCTTCTTACTGTTGTAAAGTTGCGAATAGTTTTTGTGAATGTTCTGAATTGCTCTGAATTGCTTGTTGTCGTGCCCAAACCCGGACAAACAGGAAGTGCTTATGTCAAATTGTTCGGCTTAACACACTTGAACAAACGTTTGTTTCTGTGAGATTCAGTCAGTCTGGTCGCAGGGTAGTATCATCATGTACATTTTTTCAAGCTTGAGTTCTTCTATTTTATCTGAATATATGTGTATCTATTCTGTTGTGTTTTGTTTTGTAGGAAGTGGTTCGCGCATGTCGACTGGCCTTGGAATACAGAATGAAATGTAGAAAGGATATTATTGTGGATATGCTGTGTTACAGACGATGGTAAGCTTGTTCTTGTACTTGGTTTCATATCTTAACGTCTTTAAGAGTGTTTTTAAAAGACTGTCGGACGTACATGTAATTCAGAATTGCTTTAAATTAAATTACAATATTTAGAGAGAAAGCCACATCAGCCTTAGGTGGATTTTACGCGAGATCAAATATTGGTATTTGGAAATGCTGGTTTCCCATTGGGGAGGAAAACCAGAGTACCCGGAGAAAAATCCTCGGAGCAAGGCGAGAACCAACAACAAACTCAACCCACAAATAACATCAGGCTGGAATCAAACCACATCGGTGAGGGGCAAATGATCTCACTCCTGCATCATCCATGCTCCCTATTTTGGTCTTGCGATCTCGGCGTGTTACTGGCTCATAAATCTGGCGCCGCCTGTAATGTACTCAACCACAACCACACCCTAACGCTACTTAGTTTTGTACTTTTGTGTTTTTTCGCGTTTGGTGTCGGTTATGGGCATTTTTTCCCAAGTGCTTACACGTTTCTTGCATTCCAAGTGCTTTGGCTTTGGTTAGCACAGACAAACAAAACTACGGCTAGGGCTACTTTCTTTGCAACCCCACACGCAACAATGAAAATTACGCTCATTTCTATTTCGCTTAACAAGTTGATACCAGTCGACGAGCGTAGTCATTTTTCTCTCCCCCATGACCGCTCCCGACAGGCTGTGCTCTCTGGATATATATGTTTTTTTTTGTTTGTTTTTAATCATACCCAATCGGGAGCCTGTCGCGAAGCGAAGTTGATACGGCAACAACACCTTGCAGTGCAACAACGTTGCGTGGCAACTTTCTAGTGAGACTGCTGCCCGTATTAGGCGATAGGGAAAAAAATCAGTTTTTTCCTTATGTCGTTATGCTCGTTCTGTTATGTTGCCATTATGACAGGATGTTCTCACTGCAAACATAATGGCATAACGTCTTTCTTATGTAGTTATGTTGATGTCGTTATATCGCAAGTGTGAACCAGGCCTTGCTAACCCTTGTTTATTTATTATTTATTTATGATTTATTTATTACAGGGGTCACAATGAGATTGATGATCCGTCTTTTACTCAGCCAACTATGTACCAAGTAATAGAGAACAGGCCTAGTGTGCCTGACGCGTATGCAGAGAGCCTAGTAACAAGAGGTGTGGTCACTCATGAACAGTTGCAGAAAGATGCCACTGATTATACGGCGTACCTAAATAATGAATTAAAGCTTGCAGATAATGTTACACCCAACACAAGCCACCTTGAAGGACACTGGAAAGGCTTGGTTCAGGCCGGGGAAGATAAAATTACCACATGGGATACAGGTATCAGAGCTTAGTATAAAAATTGCGTTAGCTTGCATGTACATAGCTGGCGAAATTTCCGAAGCAGACCAAGGTGCGAGGCAACTTCCCACATTTCGCCGCTTTCCTTAGAAACGTCCTTCGCCAAAAAAGTAACAAAAAAGAACACTCGCGAGCGAAATCCTTCCAACTTCGCAGGCTAAAGGGCCATATATAGTATAAAGGGCAAGTATTTGTCTCAAGTAGTTTACTGGCTTAATGTGAAAACGGGAAGAATAGAAGTTTGGACAAACAACATCTCAAAACTCTATGTAAACGTTTTCCGGCGAAATTTTTATATTGAACCAAATGCGTGGTGTAGGCGGCGAATTGTCATGATCAACTGCGCGCGAGATTTGCTCAACTATCTTTGTTTGTAACTGATAATTACACAGCTTCTGTGAAAATGTCAAATGCTCGCTACCAAGGCACAATATAAAGAAACATTCTGTAAAATCAATTTTCTTGCAATTTATATCTTGAGTGTTAAACACCTTGTCTTTTTTTGTCTTAGGCTTTCCTCTAGAGGGCTTGCTGTTTGTTGGAGCTAAGTCTGTCGAGACACCAGACTCATTCAATATTCACCCACATCTGAAAAAGACTCATGTTGAAGCTAGGATAAAGAAACTTACGAGTGGGACTGGGATTGACTGGGCCACAGCAGAAGCGCTTGCTATCGGGAGCCTTCTTTATCAAGGTTACTTGTCAAATTAAATATTGTAATTTCATAATATAGTATAACAAAAATAATTTCTCTGCCAAATCGAATCACTCCGTGAGCGTGCATCATGCTTTTGTATGCTGGTTGTGATAGTGCGGTTTCGCTAGCTATGTTATATTTTACAATTAGATTATGAGCTCGAGATTTCTATCACGTGATAGTTGACTCAGGCTGCGCCCTCGTCAACTATCATGCGTAGAAATTGAGAGCGAATAATCTAATTGTGTTCGTATAAATCTCCTTGTGGCTCGAAAATTAACTAGTAAAAACACAGGCAAGCGTACACTGCTACACCACTCACTACCTATAACAGAATAGATAGTGAGTAGCGTAGCCAATCAGAGAACGGCATTCTCAATGCTCAATATAATTGTTAGACACAAGCTTTATTAGGGTACCGTCTGCGAAAAGCAACCCTGTTGTGACGACGGAGTTTATCGTCAAGCTTCCCTCTATGTCATAAAAACATCGCCACGGCAATTTTATTTCTGTCAACTATTCATTACCTTATCTCTCACGTGCCTGTATCGTAGGATATCAAGTACGTTTTAGCGGACAGGATGTTGGGCGAGGGACGTTCAGTCACAGACATGCTATGTTGGTGGATCAGCTAACAGACGAGATGCACGTGCCACTGAATAACATGTCAGAACAGCAGAACGCCTTCCTTGAGGTACCTGATCGTGCTTAACCTCCATAAACACACTTGTCGCGCTCTCTTCTTTTCCTGCTCGAGGCACGTCAAAGACTGGACCCGAGAAAGTCGATTTCTGATGACGTAGCTTTACAGAGATACGTGTGGTGTCTCTAATTGATTCTTAGCTAGCTCTGTTCAACTACGTCATGGCCCAGTATCCACGCACCCCCCACCCCCTCTCCCAGCCTCCCCCATAGCGGGAGGGAGAAAATTTTGGGCAAACTAAGAAATTTCATGGTGTAAATCAAATAGCCACACTCTTTCTTTTGTTTGTATCGTTTGTTTGTTTTTGTCGTTGAATGGAATACCCGTGATTACTTTTTGTGCTACGTGTAAATGTAGAGCATTTTTCACTTGAGGATCGAAAGTGTTCTCATTTGCGTTGGCGATTTTGCTTTGATATGT